TTGTGTTGTGTTGTGTTGGGTTGTGTTGTGTTGTGTCGTGTTGGGTTGTGTTGGGTTGTGTTGTGTTGTGTTGTGTTGTGTCGAGTTGTGTTGTGTTGTGTTGTGTTGTGTTGTGTCGTTTTGTCTTTCTGGACGGACCAGGTTCTGGTTTTGTCTTCACTGCTGTTAAACAAACCTCTGAGTTGTTTCTTCTTCCAGTTTGACCAAAGTGTGTTAAACGTGTTCAGACGTGGTTCACTCCTTTAACGCACACATGAGGCTGACATGTAGACACAGATATTTACCACAAGCTGGTGGAAACCATTCCTGCTCCGGTCTGGCTTTCTGAGGGCAGGACAACGATGGACCTAACGTACACGTGTTCTGTTATTATTTATCTATTTAGTGAGTTTTATTAAATATCCTGATTTTAAGCCACGATTTGGTGATTTTTTCAGTCTGAACGGTGTTTTTATAGTTTCTGGCTGTGATGAATGATGGATTATTTATTCTTTACTTTATAAATCCTCTGGTGGGTGTTAGAGACCCAGCCCGAGGTCAGATCAGGCTGAAACCATCGTTTGGATCACTCTGAAACGTCATCAGTCTGTTTTTCACAGTGACGTGTCTTCCTTTTGTTTTGGCATCCATGTTTGTCTCGGTTCAGTTCTGGGATTACGGTCCGTGTGGCGCTGAAGACGCTGTAGTGAAATGAAAGTGGCCGTTTTCACAGAAGCCGATTATCTGGATGCAGACGATAAGCTCTGGTGTGTGGACTTTCTTCTGTTGTCGCATTGAGCTGTGATAAGCTTTGTTTGGAGGTATGCTGTGTTATGCAACCTGAGAAAGCATTCTGGACATACCAGCATCAGAAGTGTTCACATGAGAACGGTTTGCATACAATGGAGCCTTAATGGCAGATAAATACTGTATAATGTGTGCAATTAGAGGGAAACTCAGAGGGAACAGCAGCTCCAGCGTGACTGCATTCTGACCGACACGGCGTTAGAACCAGTCGCTTAATTTGCCGTAAAAACATTAGTCCTGTTATTGGATTATTATGCTCAGGGGGACGCCGGGCTGGATAATGAAGGCTTCGTCTCAGACAGTTTGAGAAGGTTTCTCTCGTGATAATACTTGACTGACAGGATTTTAATTAGGAAATTTGCTCCTAATCAGTGTAAATACACCCACAGTGCTCGTTACACCAAGTCGCCGCGTGATGTTTCGGCGCCGAAGCCGTCAGATTCCAGTTTCTGAGGTTGTAAACAAACAAACTGAGATGTAGATACGGTTCGGTTGGTCGCATCCTTATCGGACTCTCTCAGCTGGACTCGCTCTGATGTGACTGTCAGTGACTTCAGAGACGGATTTAATTGGTGCACACGTTAGCGAACACCTTTCACTTTATCCTGTCTTAAAAGTACCGACTAGAAAACGCTCGTTTATGCCTTTTCTATGAATATTGATAAGTGTGAATTTCTTCCATAAACAACATAAAAACGCTGCTTCTTCCAGCGAACTCTGAGATACGAATGACGCTAACATCAGACTCTCCAGGACAGGCCAGCCCCTGCTTTCTAAGGCCAAACGCTTCGCAGTGTTTCTGTGATTTACGGCGTTTGCAGCTGCCTCTGTGCTACACGTACAGTATTTAATTGATTAGCTTTTAAATCTCGCGTGTCACTTCATCATCTACGTCAAACACAGGCGACTGCCGGAGACCTCCCAGCGCTGCCACAAATCCCCGGTGACTGATTGAGGTCAGTGGAAGTCATAGTTAAATCCCTCTTTAGCCTGACGTCTGGGAAACTAACGATATAGGAAACCTAAATCTGACGTGATACCGGTGACCTCCAAGCCGCCTCATGCCTGGAAAGGAAACTGATGGACCCAACGTGTCTAATTAACCTGCTTCAAAGTGACTTCTCAAATATTGACTCCGACCGTCGTCTGATGGAGGTCGAGCTCTGAATGTGTTTGTTGCTGTGTGCAGGCGACCTTGTTGTATTTAATACGAGCAGAGGGAAGAGAGTCGCAGCACTCAACGGCTTCGTGTGGTTTTTTCCCCTCGTATAACAAACAAAAAGAAAAGAGGAAACTAAATTGTTCCTGTTCTGCATTGAGTCCAATAAATGAGTTGTTTACTGAGGGTGGAAGAAAGGATATTGAGTCTGCGGCGTCGCTGAATGGCTGCAATTTGCGGAACAACAAA